CCATAGAGACATTTGATTAATATTTGTCAAATAAATGAATGAACCAATGAAGCAGAGGGTTGATTTATTAACCATCAACTCAGTAATAGTCCTCAGTTGTTAGAATATCCTTTCTTGCATCTTTTGTCTATACCAAATATCCATCCTTCAAGGCATAATTCAAAGTCCAATTCCTTCTCAGTGTTTTCTGAATCTTCTCAGCCCTTCCCAGAAGTAGATAGTCTCTTCCTTCCCTGAAATCGTACAGTTTAAAATTCCACTGATAACTTTCTACTTCTTGTTGGAGATGTTTATTCATGCGCCTTCCTAGGATCTGGCAGATTTCTTAAGTTAAGAAGGACATCTGTGTCCCTTTGATCTTGTCACCACAGCTCTTGTTAGTGTTTTGTGTGCCCCAGGGGTTCTTTCTGAGCATCTGCTGCAGAAAAGTGTGACCACGTGAGGTGGTTGTTGTTGAGGAGGTATCGTCTGGAATTGTTCCATGATGATGGTAAAGAATGGGCAAGATGACATGACCTTTCAGGTTTCGCTGCAAAGAACAAATGGGCAGAAAAATATATAGAACTAGAACTTGTGTTTAGTATCACAATGACTTTGTCTTCAGAATTATATCAAGATACAAATTTTGGAAAGTGACAGCTAGTACCTTCTGAATTAAAAATCAGCTGTCGTTTTAACTTTGTCAGTGGAATTGATTTGCTATGCCACTCAGTAGTGAAAGTACCTGAATATGTTCTAAAGCTAAATGAACAAGAACTAAAAGTAACAAAGAGAGTATAGACCAAAACCAAAATATTGATTTAAAAACATTTTATCTCTTGAAAACTACCCAGGTGAGAGCTATCTAGGCTAACATAATTCTTGCTTGCTTATTCTTTTTACTTTTAACTTTTTAAATTACCAGTTTATGGAATGTAATTTTTTGAAGTTTCCATTTAAAGATAGACAAAAAAATGATACTATCAAAAGAAAGTATTGTGAAACCTTTACTGAAGAAAGAGTTATCATACATATTAAAGACCAACAGAAGTAGATTTATTATATTCTATAGCAGTCTAGGGCCACAGTCCTGTTATTTTATGGAGTCTTAAATTAAAAAAAAAAAAGAGGGAGGAAGACTGAAATGACGCTAGAGGATATGAAGAAATGAGGAAAATGAAGAAACGGCCTTTTCTATTTGAGGGGAGAGAGCAGCTCAGGTGGCATTAGTCTATAGCACTTTGTTATACTTACAAATGACACATTTGTGTTCCAAGAGGCTTTTAGGAGACCAGCTAAGGCAAGTGCATTTCCTTCATAGTCATATTCCCCAAAGTTTTATATCTTTATGTAGCAATACTTTTTGATGTATTACAGTGAAATTTATTATAATAATTTGATGGAAAGAACCTCGGCGTTTTCTCCATTCTCTGATTCTCTCTGTGAGGAGAATACGAGAAGATGATGCCTTTTCTCTGAATCTGTTTCCTAAACTGTAAGATATGAGCAATAGACTGAATATCTAAGGTCCCTTTTGTCCAACTTTATTTAATGATTCTTTATATGTATATTTAACAACTGTGAAACTCTCTACCTTTTCTCTTAAACCCCGTTCAGCTCAATAAACCTGCACTGCTGAGTGGCTTGGCAGAAGAAATGCCTCCTGGGAGGTCAGTATACAAGCTGAGTTGGAGGGACTCAGATCCATCTTGGTTCCTTTCAACATTTTACTCTGATTTCACATCTGGCTTCTCTGTGAAGGCTTTCTGTTATATTTTAACACAATATTGTGAATAACCATAACTTTTGGGGGATGCCCAATGCATGTGTTGACCATATCTTCAGGCTGGGCCAGGGACAGACATTGTTTAACTCTATAGATTAATTAAAACTCACTAATTAATGAGGTGACCCCTTTTCCCTCTCCAGAGTACCTTGATTTAAGTGGTAAATTATATGGTCACTGTATTTCTCACCACAACTCTGTGAAGAATATATTGGCCTCCTAATCTCAGAGGTCAGGTAATGGTAGCTGGCTATGAGAGTATAAGCTTGCAAGCCATGGAGCCAGGATGAAAATTCAGTTCTGTCTGATGCCAAAACTTATGTTCTTAGCCGTTACACTTCAAGGACACATTTTCCCACTAAATGCTAGAAAAAAATTACATAAAAAGGTGACATAGAAAAGGGTATCATGTCCTTTATTTTTTATAAGTACAAATCAGCTTTAAACCTAGGACATTTTTCCTGATATTAAACTCAAATCCATCTTGCTGCAAGTTCAAGTGATTTCTTTGGCTGGAGGAATCAGTTTTGGCTTAAGTCCCAGCAGAGCTACAGACCAGCTGGTCATGAGGATTTTGTCTTTGTTCAAGGTGTTATTTATCCCTCAAGTCACTGTAAATGTAACACTTTGGTTGTAAAGAACAAAGGATAGAGGTTTCAAGGGATGCTGTGCCCCTTTGTTTCACNGATGCTGTGCCCCTTTGGTTCACATATCTACTCTAGAGCAGTGTGAGGTCTTGGGCAACATGGAGGCTTGAAGTGGTGGGCTGAGGTCATATTCCGACCTTGGTCACATGGCCTGGAAGACTGTGTCCTATGTCCTAAAGTTGTGCAGATGTGAATTAAAGTGGTCGTTTCATAAAATAGTTAAGAAGTAAAGGTGATAATGGTCATTAAGAGGATGATGGTGTTACTTGTTAGGACAGTATCATTGTCTCAATTAGATGAAAAAGTAAATAGATTCATATGGCTTATGACTTACCTTCCCAAAGTTACACAGAAATTAATAAGCTAGAGCTTGAACTCAGATCTTCTAACTCTAAATCATTCTCCTATTCATTCTCTCTTTCCTCATCAATTCACCCTCCCATGCATCAACTCATGTATATTATCAGTTTTCAGAAAAAATGTACTGAGTACCAACTACATGCTTAAACAGGGGTTCCAAATATTAATGCCTGTTTGAAATACCTTGTGAATCTTTGGAAAACACTCATTCCTGTGTATGCCAACATAGACATTCTGATTTAATTGCTGGGCTGTGACCTGGGCATCAGAATTTTTAAAAGCCTCCCAGTAGATTCTAATGTGTAACCAAATCAGGAATCCACTGAGTTAGGCACTTGGTTAGAAACTAGGAATTAAAGATGACCTGAAGCATTGCAACAAAATAGGGGATTCAAAGCCTATCCTTCTTATTCCAAGAAATCATTAAAACACAGGGACCCATGCAGTTCATAGCATCCAGGATATGGATAATAAAACACTGCAAAATTTTGTGGTCTTCAAAATGTCTGATTTTTTGGGGGAGGGCAGGGAGAGGTTTGTCAAGGAACATGGGAAAATGAAAATAAGATTTTTGGAGTGCCTTGTATTTATGCCAAGTGCAAAATGTGAAATTCGTGTCATTTTTATGTTCAAAACATTAAACAAAATAGAAGATGTGAATAGAGCAAATTGTTACTGAATTTAGCACCTCACAACAGCTCCTCTCAGGGGGTAATTTAGGCTTCTTTTTATATCATGGCTCAAACTTTGATGTGATGAGAGGATTTTGAAATTCACTTTGAGAATTCCTTTTCTCCCTCAGATTCACACAGTTAAATGATCAGAGATCACATTTAATTTCTATGTGGAAAGCCTTCATTAACTTGATGCAAAGCAGGCACTCTTGAGTCCTGAGGGAAATGAGAAACTGATGGCTTTCTTTCTAAGAGCATGATGAGGAGGTGGGGACCTCGGCTGTGCCGACAGGTGGCTGCTGGGTGGTGCTCTAGGGGTTTCCCCTTAGGAGGGTCAAAAGTCAAGTCACATTAGCAATGAGTCTCCCAATTCTGTCCAATTCAACCCTAAGGAAACTTTAGACTCAGGGATATTTCTGGAATAGCAAAATTATAGCCTTGTCCAAGAGTATTACAGGACAAGTAGAATAAAGATCCTCCTTTTTGGACTTGGCTAAAGCTTGAACAAGTTTACTCTAAAAATGGATGCATTACAAATTGGGGGCAGTTGCTGTGGCAGGAACTGGAGGCCATGACTCAGAGGCACAGTAGATATTTAGGTATGATCTACCTGTCCCATAGCATTTGTTAACACTTGCCAACACATTAGATACTCATTTTTGCCATACTTTCTGGTCTCCTGCTAAATGATGTCTAAGACATCTAGTGATGATAGGTTTCCTCATCACAAATCCCTCCTTGCTCTTGTATCCCTTAGAAGCAATGTCAGAGGAGAGTCCAGAGTTTCTTGTTAATGAGACTTCAGATGCCATAAGCAATTGACTGGAAACAGAAACCTGCTGTGACTCTGAAGGCATGCATTGCAGGCCAAGTAAGTATGCAAAGCTCCAGCTTAGACCAAAAGGAGCAGCAGGGCAGCACAGCTCTCCTCATCCCCTACTATCATCTCCTTTCTCATTCATCCTTTCCCACCCATCCCTTAAAGAGCCTGACTTTCTTGTAGTGATGGGTTGTAGGAGGAATAACTGCATGTGCCTGTCAGTTTTATGTTGACCATCTCATTTATCTAAGTCACCTGTCAGAAGCTATTATCATCACCTTAGCCAAAGACTGCATCAGGTGTTTTTCTGCCATGTTCTCAAAGCATACTTCATGTCTGAATCTATGCTGATACAGTGTCTTTTTTTTTTTCTCTTTGTCTCACTAGACTGTGTGCTTCTTGAGAGTGAAGGCAATGTTTCTCTTTGAAGTATTGCTACTTAGCATAGTAATTTCACAGATCCCTGAGTTGGAAAGATCCCCTGGAGAAGGAAATGGCAACCCACTCCTGGAGAATCCCAGGGACAGAGGAACCTTGCATGCTACAGTCCATGGGGTCACAAACACACACAGGGGTTTGACTAGGTATAAGTCTGTTTTAAATTAGTGACTGATAGTTGCAAAGAAAGTATTAACTTAATGGATGTTTAAAAGTAATTTTCACAAGTATAGATTGATTATTTATTGGTAATTATTTATTATCACAGAATTATATACATTGATTAACCTGGGCTTCAGATACCAAAGCTTTAACTTCAGGCCTCAGGGCTTTTCCTGATAACAAACAGCCTCTTTCATGGATGATGAAATCCAAAGTTAGATGTCCTCATATGTTTTTACAACTTGCTCTCAAATGAACTTTCAGGTTTTGTCTTCTGTGTACTTCAGATGGAAGTTATGAGATAGATTTGTTACAGAACAAATTTGGTACAAAATTTGTTATAGAACAAAAAATATTTAGATGGCTGCTAGGATCATCTTAGGAAAGAACAGTCAGACTTCTTTTCAGTGGTTTGGTTTATGTTTAGGGATAGGTAGTTGTCACTCAAGCCTAAGGGAGAAAATGTATATGAATTACAAAATGCTATGACTGAGCTTATATTTCTAGAAGTATGATAAATGATGTGCTTCTAGCCTTACTTGGACTGTCAGGGTACTGTTATCTTGTTACTTTAAAGATAGCTCTTATTATTTATGGTCACATCAAAGCCAAAATCAATGGTTAGTGTCTAAGGTCAAAATCATCAAGATGTCAGCATATTTTCGTAGTCCAGTTATGATACTGGACTGGCTGCCTAGGATAGCTGAAATTCAGCTTTATGGTTCTACTTTTGATATTTTGGAAAATGTCAGAAGAGAACTGGAATATGAAATGTTCAGCCACAGAAGCACCAAAATATCAGTGTTATGATGTGGGAGGGCTTCCCTGGTGGCTCAGATATCTGCCTGCAATGCAGGAGNTGGCTCAGATAGTAAAGAATCTGCCTGCAATGCAGGAGCCCTGGGTTTTTTCCCTTGGTTGAGAAGATTCCCTGGAGAAGGGAATGGCAACCCACTCAAGTATTCTTGCAAAGAGAATCCCATGGACAGAGGAGTCTATGGGTCTACAGTCCATGGGTTTGCAAAGAGTTGGACAGGACTGAGCAACTAAAACTTTACTTTTATTTATGGTGTAGGAGGTAATTTCAGGTGAATATATATTTTGAGCAGTAATTATCTAGATAATATCTTTAATTATAGTGTTTCACCTGTGTAGACAGAGATGCTGGACTTCTCTGTGAAGATTTCTGCCTTTTTTTAAAAGGAATTATCTATTTGACTGCATTGGGTCTTAGTTGCAGCATATGGGGTCTATTTAGCCTACCAGGGATCAAACCTGGACCCCCTACATCGGGAGCCTGGAGTCTTAGCCACTGGACCACCAGGGAAGTCCCTCTGCCTCTTTTATATGATGGAATCAAAGTTATTTTTCCCAGGAAGCAAAAAGTCATAATAGGAAAAGGGCAAACTAGAAATTGTTTTTAATAGTGAACATGTTGAATTAAGGAATACAACATTGTGAGAGACAGGCTTAGTAAGAGACACACTTTCTCAGTTGCTGTATTCCTGTTATTTCATTGGAATAAGAGGGACTAGCAAATGAGAAAAGTTGAAACTGCTCCAGCCAAAGTGATGTGGGTAATTAGAGCAATCTCCATTCGGCTGAAGCACAATCAAAGTGACAGGGCTGTTGAAATTCCATCTTCTAAACATTTAAATGCCACAGAGTATTCTCTATAGAAATCTGGGGGCAGTTGTGATGTGGTGGTGTATAAGTGAATGATGGCAGCTGCTCAAGAATACAGGGAGGGTGGAGGGCGCTGAGAGAGAGAGAGAAGAGGTTGGTGCCGAAAATCCTGAGGCTTTATGCACACACAGTCGGTTGGGTGGTCGGCAATGCTACAGCCACCTACTTGTCCCCTTCTGCTGCCTTCTATTCCTGGTCGTTTTAATCAGATTTCACCCAATTAAGAATATTAAGGGATGGGGTGTTTGCACAGCAATGCACTGTGCGGGGTGCTCAGAATGTTCAGTGATCAAAAACGCCATCTGGGTCCAGACTACTGTTTCTAACTGTTATGTGATCCCGTCTTGGAGTTTGCCTATAAAACAAAATGAGCTTTTGCACAACAAAGGAAACTATAAGCAAGGTGAAAAGACAGCCCTCAGATTGGGAGAAAATAATAGCAAACGAAGCAACAGACAAAGGATTAATCTCAAAAATATACAAGCAACTCCTCCAGCTCAACTCCAGAAAAATAAATGACCCAATCAAAAAATGGGCCAAAGAACTAAACAGACATTTCTCCAAGGAAGACATACAGATGGCTAACAAACACATGAAAAGATGCTCAACATCACTCATTATCAGAGAAATGCAAATCAAAACCACAATGAGGTACCATTACACGCCAGTCAGGATGGCTGCTATCCAAAAGTCTACAAGCAATAAATGCTGGAGAGGGTGTGGAGAAAAGGGAACCCTCTTACACTGTTGGTGGGAATGCAAACTAGTACAGCCGCTATGGAAAACAGTGTGGAGATTTCTTAAAAAGCTGGAAATAGAACTGCCATATGACCCAGCAATCCCACTTCTGGGCATACACACCAAGGAAACCAGATCTGAAAGAGACACGTGCACCCCAATGTTCATCGCAGCACTGTTTATAATAGCCAGGACATGGAAGCAACCTAGATGCCCATCAGCAGACGAATGGATGAGGAAGCTGTGGTACATATACACCATGGAATATTACTCAGCCATTAAAAAGAATTCATTTGAATCAGTTCTAATGAGATGGATGAAACTGGAGCCCATTATACAGAGTGAAGTAAGCCAGAAAGATAAAGACCATTACAGTATACTAACACATATATATGGAATTTAGAAAGATGGTAACGATAACCCTATATGCAAAACAGAAAAAGAGACTCAGATGTATAGAACAGACTTGTGGACTCTGGGAGAAGGCGAGGGTGGGATGTTTCAAGAGAACAGCATTGAAACATGTATATTATCTAGGGTGAAACAGATCACCAGCCCAGGTTGGGTGCATGAGACAAGTGCTCGGGCCTGGTGCACTGGGAAGACCCAGAGGGATCGGGTGGAGAGGGAGGTGGGAGGGGGGACTGGGATGGGGAATACATGTAAATCCATGGCTAATTCATTTCAATGTATGACAAAACCCACGGCAAGGTTGTAAAGTAATTAGCCTCCAACTAATAAAAATAAATGGAAAAAAAATAATAAAATAAAATAAAATCAAAATGGAGGGGGGTAAGGAAGTTTATGGGACTGACATGGGTATTATTGAAATGACAAGTCTTACACTGTGTAAGCAAAAGACAAGTAAAAGAAAGCTTAAGGATTGGGGCGAAATTGGGAACTCAAAGGGATAGTTCATTGAGTTTGCAGACTAGTCACAGTGGGGTGGTTGAACCGTAAAACCAATGAAAACGAGCAGAGAATGTGTAGTTCGAAGAATCAGAGGTGTTGGCAGTGTCATGAGACGGTCTAGGGACTGGATGGTGGAAGTATTGTCCTCTAGCAGGATGGAAGACAAGATCATCCAAACTGAGGCTGTTGGAGAACTGAGAGGCGGCCTTTGTGGCTGGGTTGCTCATGGGCCACAGAGTGTGCCTGTGTGAACATGAGTGCCCTGCACGCCAGGCTTATATGATCCTCGAGGAGCTCTGAGTACCCTGAGCCGTATCCACAAGGCTCCAGACACGCTGGTACTGCCTTCATAGAAAGTTTTATCACTAAAATAAATGTCAAAGAATATATGCTACTACACTATTACTACATGTATGTTACTTATGCCATCCTTACTCTGAAGTTCTAATGCAAGCAAAATGAGAATTTACAGAAATGAGAATGGTCTTAAGGTAGTGTTTGTGAAGATAATGTAAATACTTTGCTTGTTAGACTTTAAGAAATCCTCACAACATTGTGAATGCCCTGAATGTAATTCATTTTATGATATAATTGTACTACAATAGAAAATTCTCCCCTACTCCAAGCAGATCATTTCATTTTGTAACTCAGAAATTCTCTTGAATATAAACACTAATTCCTCTCTTATGGTTATTGTTTAACTTTCAATTATAGTGGCATATTAAATGAATAAAGGAAAGAGAGGAATTTGCCTTAATTTACCTTTGGTTCAAGTCAGCACATTTTATTTTTCTTCCTTAGAAGGTGCCAGAAACAGTGCGAAGCCTTGTACAGAAGGTAGCAGGAAACGCCAAACAGTCCCTGACCCCTAGGAGCTAAGTGGGAAAGCCACAGGCATCAATAAACAATCTCTTAGGTAGCTAACTATGGTTAACTCTTACAATGTCAGGTTAAACCGTTTGTTTTGGTGGGTGGAAAAGACAGAAACTGAGGGTGATCTTGTTCCCTGTTTTCGGAGCACTTTTAAAGGTAGTCAAACAGTGCTCAAGTTATGTTTCCCACATAGTTGAGTTGTTATTGGTCAGTCACTAAGTCATGTGCTAACTCTTTGTGACCCCATGGACTGCAGCACTCCAGGATTTCCTGTCCTTCATTATCTCTTGGAGTTTGCTCAAATTCATGTCCACTGAGTCAGTGATGCTATCTAACCATCTCATCCTCTGACGCCTCCTTCTCCTCCTCTCCTCAATCTTTCCCAGCATCAAAGTCTTTTCCAATGAGTTGGCTCTGCACATCAGGTGGCCATAGTATTGGAGCTTCAGCTTTGGTATCAGTACTTCTAATGAATATTTAGGGTTAATTTCCTTTAGGATTGACTGGTTTGATCTCCTTGCAATCCAAGGGACTCTAGAGAGTCTTTTCCAGCACTGCAATTTGCAAGCATCAATTCTTTGGTGCTCAACTTTCTTTACAGTCCAACTCTCACATCCATACATGACTACCAGAAAAACCATAGCTTTAACTATACGGACCTTTTTAGGCAAAGTGATGTCTCTGTTTTTTAATATGCTGTCTAGGATTGTCATAGCTTTCTTTCCAAGGAACAAACATCTTTTAACTTCATGGCTACAATCACCATCTGAAGGGATTATTTTCTGTTCTGCAACTTTTTATCTGCATATGAAAGAAAACTGTTATGGCTTTAAAGGTCAAATCCTGGAGGCAGAGTCTTGAGAAAGATCTATCATGTATATTTAAGGTTACAGTCAACATTCTTTTAGACAAAGGTGCAGAGCCCGCATAAGTAAGCACAGACAAGAGAACACAAGGGTTAGAGCTAAAGGAACTGATCCAATATGGAGTCAGGTTAGTTCTTCTCTGTTACACAGTGTTTAAAGGATTGGGGTTATGTTTCTAGACTCAGAACCACCTCAGGCATGGACAGCTCTGGAGACATATAATGATCTTTCTACTCAAAAGTTAACTCTACAAATGACATTATTTCATCCTTTTTAATGGCTGAGTAATATTCTATTCTATTCTATATATATGAATAGTATATGTTCTATTCATCATCTGTTGATGAACACTTAGGTCGCTTCCATGTCTTGGCTGTTGTAAATAGTGCCCCTAGGAACACTGGGGTGCATGTATCTTTTCAAATTAGAGCTTTTGTCTTTTCTGGATATATGCCCAAGAGTGGGATTGCAGGATTATGTAGAAACTCTATTTTCAGTTTTTTAAGGAATCTCTATACAGTTTTCCATAGTGGCTGCACCAGTTTACATTCCCACTAACAGTGTAGCAAGGTTTTCTTTTTCAACACATGCTTCAGCATTTATTATATGTAGATTGATGTCTCACTGTAGTTCTGATTTGCACTTCTCTAATAATTCACATTGTTTAGCATCCTTTCTTCTGCCTGTTAGCCATGTATATGTCTTCTTGGAGAAATGTCTATTTAGATGTTCTGGCCAATTTTCGGGTTATTGTTGACTTGGGGGGGTATTGAGTTGTATGAGCAGTTTTTCTGCTTTGGAAATTAGCCTTTGTCAGTTGCATTGTTTGCAAATATTTTCTTCCAGTCCATAGATTTTCTTTTCATTTTGTTTATGAATTTCTTTGTTGTACAAAAGTTTATAAGTTTGCTTAGGTCCCATTTGTTTATTTTTCTTTTATTTCTATCACCTTGGGAGACTCACCTAAGAAAATATTGCTACAATTTATGTCAGAGAATGTTTTGTCTATGTTATTGGACCTAGAGATTATCATGTTAAGTGAAGTAAGTCAGTCAGAGAAATGCAGATATTACATCATATCACTTATGTGTAGAATCTAAAAACAGTACAAATGAACTTACTTACAAAACAGGTTCAGAGACATAGAAAACAAACTTACAGCTACCAAAATGGAGGAGGGATAAATTGGGAGTATGGAATTAACCGATGCACAATACCATATATAAAATAAATAAGCTATAAGGATTTACTGTATATCACAAGGAATTATATGTAATATCTTATAATAGGCTATAATGGAAATAAAAATGAATATAGATACACACACAACACACACACACACACACACACATATATATATGTATATATATATGAATCCCTTTGCTATATACTTGAAACTAACACAATATTGGAAATCAACTATACTTCAGTTAAAAGAAAAGTTAACTCTAAATTTCAGATGAATTCAGCCTCATGGTTCTACATGACTGCCTAATTTACAGAATTATTTGTCTCCTGTTTCCTTCACTGTCAAGGTCAGAATGCCTGTTTTCTGTTGACTTTTCACTGATCTTAGAGGCTTTGGGCTGCCTGTCAGAGAAAGAGCTCATACTCTGAAGGAGTAGAATGCCTCTGATGTATACACTTCACCTTACTGGTGAGGAAGCAGGATTCTCGGCTTGCCTGATCTTTTGATGATCTCTAGTAAGACTTGAGCTGTTTGATCCCCATCACAGGGTCCTCCTGCTGCCCGCTCCTGCTTTCTTTCTCTAGCTTGTCTTCATGCTGGTGGCTTCGTCAGTTAACCGTCACTATTGATTTTCCATCCACACCTAGCAGCTTCCCCCCAGTTGTGTAAGGATGAGGCAGCCCTCTTTGGGTTTCAGGGCTCAGACAAAGGCTTTCTAACCCAGTTTGATAAGTTTTTGTATGCTGTGTTACTTGAGAGATTTTACAGCAATGTTCTGTGTATTAAAGTCTGATGACAGAAAACAGATTCAAGCCGCAATAGTAAAATAGAAACTCACTATGGTAAAATGATTGGTGTTGCTCAGAATAAATCTTATAGCCAAGTTATTCATAGAGTGAATTTCCATTTCCATTTTTCCATGGGCTTCATTACACAATCTGAGCTGGGTATCACTGTAAAAAAAATTAAATGGAAGAAGAAAATCTTTACAGATCACGTTTTAGAAGAGAAAAACTTAGGGCATTTTAATAAATGTGGTGAAGTAGTTAGAAGGCAGCATTTAAAACTCCCTGGATAAGCATTGAATTTTCCATTTTAAAAGATAGTTTATACTTAAAGAGACTTTTGAGATCACCTTTTTGCCCTGGCTAACTGCAGGCTCTAAGGTGATGTACTATCCCTAAGTAGCTGTACTATTTTCACCAATTTTGTGCAATTACCCCAGAGCCGTTTGCTTTTGAGTAGAATCAGATCTAGGTAAGGATTCTCATGCTGCAGTCGTCACCTCAGACAGGTAATAACCTCTGTCTTTATCTGTTCCATATGGTGACAACCACCTCAGAGGGCTGTAGTGAGAAGTGCTTAGGATCCTATAGCAGAGCTCCAAATATAGAACCCACCCTTTTGCCTCTCTCTGCTCTAGATGGTAGCTTGGGTTTCACAGGATCACAGGAATATAACACCGGTGTTCCTTATTCTTTAAAAAACTATTTTGTACTCTGTCATGTTCAGAGTTTAATTAAAGCTTTTAGGCCATTAGTGTACCGTTTAAGGAAAGCCTATCTAAATAAAAGATCCAGGAACCATACACTGGAATGTACACATAGACTGTGATGAAAATACAGTTGAGATTATTATGAACATGTATCAGTACAATGTGAAGAAAGGATGTGGTCTCGAGCTGACTCAGCTGAAAAGGTTACTAGTCACTAACCACCCAAACAGTTTAGATTCTGAAATATTTTATTTTTAGAGAATGGGGCATAATTTGTCCAGTTTTATCACTTTAATAGTCAACCCTTTCATATCTATTTAAACTGATGCTAATGCCAAATCAAGTTTGTCCATTGAGTTACATGCCATAGACATATTGATCTTCTCTGAAGCCAAGTTCTCACCCTCACATCTTCCCTAGTTGTTTTTTCTCTGGCAGTTTTCACCTCCAGCTTTATTAAGATATTATTTGACACATGACACATGTAAGTTTAAAGTGTATATCAAATCAAATATGATGATTTGCTATACTTATATATTGCAAAAAGATGACCACAATAAGGTTAGTTAACACTTCCATTGCCTCACATAATTATCATTTTGTGTGAGTCTGTGTGTGGTGATAACACTTAAGATCTGTTCTCTTAACAACATTCAAGTATGCAATACAACACTGATAACTATACTTACCACGCTATACATTGTATCTCCAGAACTTATTCATCTTGCATAACTGAAACTTTGTACCCTTTGACCAATATCTCCCCATTTTCCTCACCCCCATCCCCATGGCAACCAGCATTGTATTCTCTATTTCTATGAGCTCAGCTTAAGATTCCATGTGTGTGATTTCTTACATAATAGGTAAAGAATGTGATGTAGGTATTTTAAATTATCCTTTGTTTTGGAAATCACAAAATTATTTTGAAAAGTTCAAAAGTCTCTCTCTGTGTGTATGTATTCCTTTGCCTAAGATGTATAGACAAGTAAAATTCACCTCTTGAGTGACTGCTACTTTTAATGGTCCCCGTATTTCCTGCCCTCAACCTTTCCTTAATCCCTGCAGTTTTGCTGTGGCCAGCAGGCAGTGAACTATTCCCTGGATCTCTGAGGCACCCCCAGAAATGGATCACAGCCCAGTGCAGGGAATACCTGCTTCTCCCAGGTCCTGGCCATCAATCCATTGAGGCCTCAGTGATGTCCTTCCTCCCCTAGAGGACTCGACTCTGACAGTCCTCCTTTCCACGTTGTTCAGCCTCCTAGGAAATCGACAGCTTGCAGGAAGTTGCCACAGTTGCAGCTCTTTTGTCTGAAAAACAGTGCCCTTAAGTTCTTCATGATGAAGGTAAATTAATAAGTGGGCAGGGGATGCTTTTATCATGGGCACACAGTGGTTAAGAACAGGTTTGCAAACTGCATTTGAATCTTGATTTTGTTGCTGTGTGACATTGCTAAGCCTTCATTTCCCTAATAGTAAAATAAAGAAAAAACAAGATTATTGACAGTATTATATTGGTTAATGTATGTCAGTGCCTAGCATAAAACACTGTTTTTATCTTTGGGTAATTTACTCCTATAACAAAACAGGCATTGTGAAAGCTAAAAACCTTGCAGCTAGTGTCTTATTTACCATAAATATATACACTAAAGCTCCTTATGCAAGCATGTAGTGTAACAGAATAAATTGTATTTTGGATGACACATCAGCCTGAGGAATCTATAAACCAGCCTCACAGTGTCAAGAATTTGGGAGAAAGTAAGAAGTCATAGAAATTACAAACCTGCTTGCTACTCTTCATTTTCCCTCTTCCTTAGTTTTAATACCTTTCTTATTTCTTCACTTTTGTTTATATTATCAAAATTTTCTGTTTATGTTATCAAGCTTTAGGAGTAATCTTTGATCTCTGTATTTGTCACAGCTCTCAATTATTGCACAGTTCTAAGCATTTTGCTGGATTATGAAATATCATTTTCCACATTAGCAACTTTAATGAGGAAATCAGACAAATGTATAAATCATTCATGAAAAATAGAATAGAAAGCTAGGTTGAAAGCTACTAATTTGCTAATTGTTTTTAATAAATAAATAATTTGATAATTATTTTTAGATATTGACCTTTTAGTATACTGATGATATTTGAGCAAGTTATTATTTTGGTATATTCACAGTCTCATTATAAATTTACAACTTCTTTCAAGTAAATCAGTTGATAGTTAAAATTTTATTTTCACATGTGTGTATTGCTTGAATGTGAGTTTGTTACACTCTGAACCTACTCCAGTTTTTTGCAAGCACATGTCTAATTCCTTCAACTGTAATGTGCACCTTAGCAAACTGAGTGACAGTCACGTGTCTCATGAAGCAGACAAACTTACAAGATGCTGACTGTTCCATTTCAGTGTTGCAGTGTTCATTAACTGCTGGCTGCAAAAAGAATCCTGCATTATTAAAGAGAAGAGAGGAATAGATTGGAGCAAATGACAGTTTTTAGTGTCTTATTTTTTTTCCCAGACATAAAATGGAATCACAGAGGTGAGCTTCTGCTTTAGTTAATTCTTCCCTTGGTTAGAATATCAACCTTTTTCTTCTCTGCTACCCTCATCAGAACCACCTGAAGGGAATAACTAATAAGAATTCATCTGCTGTCTTTTGTACATGACAAAATTCAGATTGGCTAGAAATCAAAGGGAGTGGGTTATCTCCACCAGCAAAGAAGTCATAATAGAGCACATTCCATTGCCTGATTTTCCATGTTGGCTTATGGGGGTCAGAAGGCTGATTTTATTGTCCTCATTCTAAACTGACAGAAGCTGGATTATGTTTTCATGGCCCTACAGAAGGGTTCTGGGCTTGCAGAGGATGCTTTTGAAACGGGTTAGATATGCCAGCAGGGGGCAAGCATTAGCTGTGAGAAAGGCTCAGAGAGGCTTTACTGTTCATGGGGCAAGTGCTCACACACTCTCCCTTACAGGCACTCACACACTTATATTTAATTATTCTATGAAGCTTATATTTAAAGGTTTCAATTGTCAAATTTTTGCATTATATATAGACCCCCAACTTGTGTCTTCAGAGTCACCAAAATTATACCCAAGACTTCTGTTGTAAAAATGTTTTAGTTTAGGGGTAAACAGCTTGGCAGAACAGAATACATGAAGCTGGAAATTATGTGGAGCCTGCCTGAATTTGAATGCCTAAGTGACCCAAAGCAAATTTTGTAAATTCTTTGAGCTTCAGTTTTTTTCCCTTGGTGAAATGGGGATGATAAGTCTACCTACCTGAATGCATTGTTGAGATGACTGTATGAAGTGACATATGTAAGGAGTTTAGCTCTGTAAGTCACATCATAAAATCCTGGTAAATATTATCTTTCCTTTGCAATGAGTACAGACCCTGGGGAAGAGTAGACACACACGAATAGTGATAATAACCCATTAGAAAAGCCTGCTAAGAATGGATTTGGGAAGGCTTATGACAAGATGAGTCTGCAGAACTGAAGGACAAATGAGATGCTCAAGTAAGTCTGATTCATATTAATATTTCAGTTAGCAAAGGTGGAGCTACAGGAATATGAAGCCAATGACTGAAGTTCACGGTTCACAAACCTAAAATGACTAACAAACTGTCAGGGGAATTGAGTGCTGCACATGGAAATGGAAATAAAACAGTCTGGATGGTTTTATATCCAGAAACATAATTTACAGTCAAGCAATTGTGTCAGGACAGAGGGATTTTATGCATCTATTTTAGCACCCAAGTTCTTGCTGGCAGGATTTAGGGAAGAAAATATCTTTTGGAGTTTGGCAAATCACAACCAGACCCAGACCCATCTGTTCTGGAAGGAAGTCTTCTTTATCCATTGCTCTTTTACAGTTTGGAGGATTGACAGATGAAAGATGTGAGCTTGCGGGGGGTGGGGGGGGTGCAAAAATGGGTTACAATTACAGGAAATAAAATCAGAAAGAACCAACATATTTATGGAGTAGAATGAGCACTGAGAATCCCCCTGAGAAAGACAGTCTACCTCCTCATCCTGAACTAGGTATTCAGGAAACCACTAAATCAAACAGCTTGATGAAAAGGGTTTGGAAGCAAACAATTTTGCAGGAATGTTCATTCACTTGCTGAAAAGAGTCGATACCGTTGTTCTGTGTTCCTAAATCCTGAACACTCTGTGGAAGTAATATTTTATGTCCAAGTATTTTATTTAGTACAAATACTATTTTTTTTAACAGCAATTTGTACAGAGTTGTCCCTATAGGTATCTAAGAAAAATAGATAAAAAGATTCTTTGAATAATTACCAAGTCTCCCATATTTCTCTATGCTCTGAGGACAGGTAAGGCATCACAATGAAGCAAAATAAATTCTGAATGGATGCTCAGGTGTTCTTCTGAGGTATTTAAATGTGAAACTTAATAAAACGTGCTTGAATACTTATGCGAACTAGAAATCTATCACATTAAACAAGGACTTCACTTTCATTATTACAAGTATGAAGTGCCATACTTTTCTACAACGCCAAATAGTGTTTTAGAAATAACATCTTATCTTGAGTCAGCACCAGGTGAAGTTTTGACAAGTAACAAATTTACAACCCTTGGGTACCTCACAGTTTCTGACAGGTGCCAGTGTCACTGGGGAAAGAAGGCAGTGCAGCTTAAAGCCATCTTGTCAGCTATAATCACCCACGTGTATTACAAGCTAAGATGATTTCTGGATTTCTCCCTCTGTGGAGACAGCAACTTGATAAAGACACCCCCCTTCCAAATAATGGTGGAGATGCATTTCATCATTCACAGTACTGTTGTTATAATACAGTTGGCATTAAGACTTTTCTATGTGAAGCTTGTTAAATATCACATCAGGACCCTCCAAAGTCATGTCTCACAGCATTTAAAGATGATTTATGCCTTCATAGTCATCCTAAAGGCAGTTCTAGCATCATAACTTTCAATTCTCATTAACAAACTGATACTCATTTCTGCAATAGTACACTGTTCAAACAACACCTGATGTACCTAAATGTTGTAATTAACATAATTTGATATTTTAATGACAGTTTTCATCAGAAATCTGTGATATTGTTGAAGTGAAGAGTCTTATAAATAAATTCCCATTTAGGGAAAAATTTGGTTTCTAATCTTAAGACTGGCATAGTTTTGGATATGTCCTGCCCCCAGATGCATGTTTTTTAAGCAGGAAAATGCAATTGTTCAAGACCGTGTGGCTAATGACCTTATGTTTTCTCTCTGATGGTTCAAATAATTTTTATTCTTATTCTTGAGGGTATATAAATATTTGGTATATTACTTTCACACAGGCAATACAGCCCCAAATAAACTAGTTCTTTTACAATGTGATCACTAGACATAAGACAACTCAAACTATGTTTTATTATATAAACTGTTAAATCTACAATAAGTTGGCAGATTATTATAAACTCCTATGTGTCTATCAGCTGGCTTTAGTGACTGTCAAAAGCCCATGACTTGCAGCTCTACCCCATCCACTCCTTCTCAGCCTGTCTTATTGGAAATGAATTTCAGACATTATATCATTTCACTCATAAATATTTCAGTATACATCTTTAAAATATTTGAATTCTTCATAACACAATCTTCCATACTATTGCTTCATAATATGACTGAATCTCCATTTGAATGTTTTAATTTCAAATTATCTCACAAAGGTTTTCTTTCCCCGTCTCTTCCTTCTCTTTCCC